TGTCTTTTGTTTTTGTTTGGTGGCATTCCATACTTCTTTACTCTGTTTCCTGTTTTTGTATGCTAAGTGTCTCAGGTTTGGTTTTTTGGGGTGTGGTTACCATTAGATTTATGAATAGAAGATTTCATATATACAGTAGTCCTTTTTCCTTTGAATGCATCTCACTTCCATCCTCCTTTGCTAGTGCAGACCTTTTCCCCTCCTCTTTTCTCTTTGTTGTCACAAATTATCCCTGTTTATGCTGTAAGTTTGTTGGTAATCTTACTCATAGATTTATGACCTTATGTTCTTTGTTTCAGGTAGCATAACCCCTTTGAGTATTTCCTGCAATGGAGGTCTTCCAGTGATGAATTCCCTCAGTCTTCTGTATGTCTGAAAAGTCTTATTTCTCCTTCATATTTAAAGGATAACTTTCCTGGATATATTGTTCTTGGGGAGGAATTTCTCTCTTTCAGTAGTTTGAATATTTTGTGCCACTGAGTTCTGGCTTGTAGAATTTCTGCTGAGGAGCCTGATAATAACCTTAATGGGCTTTCCTTTATTTTCCTTTTCTTTTTGTCCTGGCTGCTTTTAGAATCCTTTATTTGTCATTAATTTTTGACAGTTTTACTACAATGTGCCTTGGAGAAGGCCTCTTTGGATTGAGGTAATTAGGTGTTCAGTTTCCTTCTTGGATTTGAGGATCTAGTTTTTTCCATAGGTTTGGGAAGTTCTCATCAACTGTTTGTTTAAATAGGCTGTCTGCTTCCTTCTCCCTCACTTTTTTTCCTTCTTTGTTAATCCTCACCTGAGGAGTTTTTTTTTCTTAGAGAGAGTGGGAGGGAGGGGAGAAGGGAGAGAGAAAAACATTGATGTGAGAAAGACACATCAATCGGTTGCCTCCCTCATGACCCCAACCAGGGCCTGGGATTGAACCCAGATACGTGCCCTTGACCGGAATCGTGCCATGACCCTTTGGTCCACGGGCCAACACTCTAACCACTGAGCAGAACTGGCCAGGGCTCCTCTACTTCTTGTATGCCCATTCTTTTATTACTCTGACGGAATCAGATACTTCTCATAGAGTTCTTTTTTTTTTTAAATCCTCACCCAAAGATATTTTTGTATTTCTCTTCAGACAGAGTGGGAGAGAGAGAGGAGAGAAAGGGAGAGAGGTAGATAAACAACTATGGGACAGGGACACATCAACTGGTTGCCTCCCACATGACCCCAAGTAGGGCCCGGGATGAATCGCAACCGAGGCCAGCACTTGTAGAGTTCTTTTATTTATTTATTTTTATATTCAGATCTTTCTCTTCTTCCCTTTGCATCATTTCTAGATTTCTATCTCCAATCTTACTGACCCTTTAATTCATTTGGTTTGGTCTGTTTCCTATGCTCACTGGTTCATTTGTCATCTCTTTTATTGAATTCTTCATCTCCAGGATTTCTGTTTGTTTATTTTTTAAAGTTTCTATCTCTAGTGAAGTACTTGTTTAAGTTTTCTGAGCTCACTAAATTGCCTGTCTGTATTTTCTCATATCTTACTGAGTATTTTCAGAACTGCAATCTTGAATTCTCTGTTGCTTATGTCACATATTTCCATGTCTTTAAGTTTGTTTTCTGAAGATTTTTCATTTTCTTTCTGAGCTGCCTCACTACTTTGCTACCTTGATTATTCTTGGTATTTGATGTATTCCTTCTCTATATAGGCATCAGTGTGTGAATGGCACTTATTGAGCAGATTAACATGAAGAGGTCTTTCTTTTCTTTCCAGTAGTGAACTGAATCACAAGGTTGTTTTTTTTTTTAGCTCTGTAAGATCCCAACCCTGTCTTCTACAGTCTTAGTGGTCAGTGTAGTAGCTTGTGATTCGTTGGGGTGGAGGTGGGCTGGAGGATCCATTCAGGTTCTTGGTTGTTTTGCTCTCCCTGTACTGGCAACTTCGGTCCTCCACTGGGGTACCCCCTGTATCAGGCCCTGGGACCAGTTAGAGAGTGAACTCTCTTGGACTCACAGTTAATGTGCTGTACAACCTGACACCACAGGCAAAGGGAGGCAGTCTCTGGGAAGTTCAGGGAAGGCTGCCAGGCTTTGTGGCTTTGTTTTTCTGTCTCAGTTGCCCACCACCTAACAACCAGAGCCACTCTCCCACTCAACCTTGCTGTTTCCTTACCCAAGTCTCTGCTCAGCCGCAGCTAGTGTGGCTCACTCCTGCAGGAATGCTCACCAAGTCTCTCTTTCACTGAAGGGGGTGTCAGCGACACCAGATTCCTCCCCTCTTTGGCTGAGCCCTGCCGTGAGCTCCTGGCTGCCAGGTTGCATTCCTGGCTCATATCAGCCCAACTCCATTTTCACCTCCTCATTTTGCTCCACTTGTCCGCCTTTGGATGTTTCAGTGTATGAATCTCTCAGGCGTATTTGTGCATTGAGCAGGGAATCTTTTGTTGAAATAGAGCCATTCAAGTTGCTGAAACTTCAAAGGGAGAGACCAAGGGGATCTAATGCCTCTGTTCCTCTAACATCACTAGTAATGTCTTTTAAATTGTTATGTTTAAAAGTTTCTTTAACAGCAAGGAAACAAATGTGAGGAAATCCTGTTTCTCACCAGCATTGGAAGGTCCACCTCTGTAACCATATTTTACTCTTATTCCCTCCAAACTCTGAAGCTATAAAGACACCCAAGAAGGAGTATGGAACTTCAAAGGTACAGACTGTCCATTAACATATAGACTTTAAAAACTTGACCTTTCCTGTGAGCTTTAAACTACTAAGCTGTGAGGACACACTCTTATTCATTAAAGGCAAGTCTTGGGCATTTCTTAGCATTCTTTTTGGTCATGTAGTGTCTGGACCCTAGTCAAATTTATCACTGGTGCCTCTCTAGCTTTCCTGTTCCATTCTTCTTCATAGTGCACCCTTCCTTCCATGTCCTGAGACCCTAAGGCTCTTATCCTAAACCAGCCCTGGTCTCCGGTATCACGACCTCCTTACTCAGAAGTATTCCCCCTTTTCCCACCCTCATCAAAACTGTTTCTGGCTATCTGCTCTCTCTGCTTGGAATTCTGATTATCAACTGATTAAAACTTTTTATGCTAACGCTGATAGTAAAAGTCACTAACAAACTAAGTTTTTAAGCATATATTTGTTTTAAGAATTAATATATTTCCTAGCTTTGTTCACTAAAAAGGCTTGGAAGCAATAACAAACCCAGTAACAGTGAGCTTCCCTCCTTAAGGCATCTCTAAAAACATTTCCTCTTTAAAGGGACCAAAGCACCTTAGAGACAGGAAGCATCAAAGTGAGTCTGGAACATTTTGTCAGGAAGTAGGAGAGCTATCAATGATCACGGAGTACTTGCTGAAAGGACTCAGAGCCCATTTAGAAGAGTTCCCAATGACCTAAGATGGGGGGTGTGGTATCTGAGCATCAAAAGAAAACTAACAGAAGTGGACTGGAGCACATCACGTGTTAAAATACAAGAGTTCCTTATGATACTTTTAAACAAAGGTCACCTGTGGCAGTTGCAAGGAAACCATGTCATTACTTTAAAAACTGGCAAATAAAGGGAAAGAATTAGGCATTTTTCCACATTTCCTGTATAACTTTTACCTTAGGATAGCCAACTAGTCAATGTGGAAAAGAATACTACCATTTTGCAATTCCTCTTGAAGCAACAGATCTAGCTAACATTAGATGAGCCCGGTTGTGGTTCAGATGGTTGAGCATTGTACTGTGCACTGAAGGGTTGTGGGTTCAATCCTCAGCAACCAATCATTGTTTCTCTCTCTCTCTCTCTCTCTCTCTCTCTCTCTCTCTCTCTCTCTCTCTCCTCCTTTCTCTCTCTAGGCATCTCCTTGGGTGAGGATTAAAAAAAACAAAACATTAGCCCTGGCTGGCAGTTAGAGCCTGCAACATAGGCATGTGCCCTGACCAGGAATTGAACTGGTGACCTCTCGGTACATGGGGCAATGCTCAGTCAACTGAGCTACACCAGCCAAGCTATATAATACAGTTTTATATAATTATATATGTGTGTGTGTGTATAGTTTTAAAATTATACATAACTCATGACTACAACCAAAGTTGAAATTTTTAAAAATTGATTTCAGAGAGCGGAAGGGAGAAGGAGACATCAATGTACAAGAGAAACATCCATTGGTTGCCTCCTGCACAGAGATCGAACCTGCCACCTTCTGGTATACAGACAACACTCCAACCAACTGAGCCACACTGGCCAGGGCTAAAGTTGATTTTTTTTGTTGTTATTGTTGTTGTTGTTGTTGTTGTTGTTGTTGTTAATACTCACCGAGGATATTTTTCCATTGATTTTTAGATAGAGTGGAAGGGAAGGGGTGGAGGTAGGGAGGAGAAACATTGATGTGAAAGAGACACATCGATTGGCTGTCTCCCGAACCACCCCGACCAGGGCCCAGGATTGAACCTGCAACCTAGGTACATGCCCTTGACCGGGAATCAAACCCGAGACCCTTTGGTCCATGGGCCAACGCTCTAACCACCAAGCCAAAACAGCCAGGCTGAAGTTGATTTTTGATTGGGAATTGAAGCTTGGAAGGAACTAAGCTTTCTAGCGCCCCTTGCCATTACAGCTTCCTACCCAGAGTTGACCACAATAGTATTGGCAACTTGGTGTCTTGGTTTATGGTGTCTGGGAGTTTGCTAATCTATACCTAAACAGCCAAGTGCCATAATACATAATATTTCCACCAGAACCATTATTGTTACGAAAAGACCTGTGAGGAGTACTTTCATAAAACTTATAGCTGGTAAAAGGTTTGTTATAAATTCCTAATTTTCCAATGAGGAGCACATGTATATTTTAAAACAACAACAAGCATAGCACCCCTAAACATAGTATATGTATCTTATAGAGAGAGAGAGTGTAGCATATTCATTTTCTAAATGAGTTAATTTTGTTAAGTGAAATATATACCTTGCAGGCATTTCTTTTTTAAAACATTAGATTTTCTTTCTCTGAAACATTTTTCTCTCTGTTCTAGGAAATTGTTTTAGGTTATGTGAAAGAGATGCTTCCTCCTCTCTAAGGCTTACCAGAAACCCTGATTTGAAGAGGATAAATGGATTTTGTACCAAACCACAGGAAAGTCCAAAAGCTCCATCCCGTAAGTTTTTTTTAATCCTCACCCAAAGATAATTTCCCATTTATCTTCAGATAGAATGGGAGGGAAGGAGAGAGGGAGAGAGAGAGAAACATCAATGTGAAAGAGACACATCGATTGGTTGCCTCCCACACGACACCAACCACGGCTGGGAACCAAACCACAACTGAGGTATGTGCCCTTGGCCAGAATCAAACCCACAACTCTTTGGTCCACGGGTGGACACTCTAACTGCTGAGCCAAACCAGCCAGGTCCATAAGTTTTTATTATTTTTTCTAATCATGAGCTAGGCAGCTCCCGAAGAGTAGGACTATTTGGAATCAAAAGAACCTTGGTCACTACATAATACCCAGTCGTGTAGTTCAGGCCTCCCAAATTGTACTGACATTGGCTGTGCTCACAGGTAGCAATGATTTCTTCATTTTCCTCTTTGTCATGTTTATTTCTTGCCTCAAAGATTAGACTGTCACTTTTTGTAGGAGAATAGATTCATAAAGTAAATAGTAGTCTAGAAATTATCTTTTAAGGAATCCCAAAGATGAACCAAATCAAGAAATGATGATTTGGGTAAAATATAACCTGGGATAAGCTCTGGCTTGGGTATTAACTTCAGCCACATTTAGTCCTGTCTCTTCCTCAAACCTCTCACCGTCACCACTGCAGGAAGAAGGAGTATACTTTTATACTGTAGAGGCCTAAGAACTATTTGCTTGTTGCTTCTTCATGGGAGTACACTCAGGCCAGGCAGGTCTTGGTGAGTGGAAAGGAACCATCCTCAAAATATATTTATCAAGAGCTTAAAAATGTTTATACTCTCCGACCTGGTATTTCAATTCTGGGCAACTGTCCTAGAATTGAAAATTCCACATGTGGGAAAAGCTTTGAGTGTAAAGATGTGTCCATTTTTTATATGTAATAGGAAAATGAGAAATAAGTCCAAATGTCAAATAATCAAGGAATGATTAATTATGTGTGTCGGATCTACTTGATGAGATTATGCAGCAGTTGGAAATGGTGCTTGTAAATACTATGTACTAGCATGGAAGATGTTATAATGTCAATGAATAAAGCAGGATAAAAAAAATTTTTTTTAATCCTCACCCAAGGACTCTTTTTTTTTTTTTGCATTTATCTTCAGATAGAACAGGAAGGGTAGAGTGAGGGAGAGAGAGAGAGAGAAATATCCATGTGAGAGAGACACGTGGAGTGGTTGCCACCCACACAACCCCGACCGGGGCTGGGGACAAACTGCAACCGACGTAGCAGGAACCGAACCTGGGACCCTCTGGTCAACAGGCCAATGCTCCAACTGCTGAGCCAAATTGGCCAGGGCCAGGATACAAAATTTTATATCGTGTGTAACATAAACAGATATAACATAAACATATACATAAAGATAAACATATACATACATAATTATGGAGGATAAGACTTCAGAAACACATCAAAATAAAAATATAGGGATTGTGCTATGACAAGAAAATTAGGGATGGTTTTTATCTTTTTCTTGTATCTGTACTTTCTGAATTGTCTTTAATGAATATATAATATTTAAAATGAGAAGGAAAATTACTATCGCGAGAGTTGTGCCAAGTGCTGGAAGTTTTAGATAAAACTACAGCAGTACTATTTCTGTACTTCTAAATCTCTTTTCTTACCTTTGGTTCTTTGAATGTTTTTCCTATTGACTTTCCTGTTCTTTTGCTGTTGCCTTTTGATTAAGTGACAGGAACAGCATAAACAAAGGTGTAGAGGTGGGAGTGAATGTGACATGTAGGTAATAGTCAAGGAGAAGGTCTGTCTGCAAGAGAGATATAGTCAGTACATGGGATTTGAATGAGATTATCTCCATGGTCCCTTCTAACCTTGACACTATTTGATTCCCAAACCTTTTCTGCTCCTTATCTTCGGTGACTTCCCCTTTCTTTAGAAGACTTTTTCTACAGTCTGTGGCTTTATACTTTTCTTATTCATCTGCCTTTTTGGCCACTCCATTTTTTCCTGTCCCTTTTCTTGGGCCATGCTCAAGGCTTATCCCTTGGCTGCCTCCTTCTCTTCTCGATCACCAGTCATCTCTACTCCTGACTTACTAATGAAACCTACTCAGGTGGCATAAATTTAGACCCAGTAAATAAAAAATGGCACAGATAGCATTTTTTGTTCTTTTTTTTTTTCTTTACTGATAGGGAGAGGTAGAGAGAGAGAGAAATATTAATGAAAGAGAACATTGATCGGCCACCTCCTGCATGCCCCTCCTGGGGACTGGGCCCACAACCTGGGCATGTGCCCTGACCAGGAAATGAACTGGCAACCTCTTGGGTGCATGGGTCGACGCTCAACCACTGAGCCATACCAGCTGGGCAATATTTTTGTTCTTGCTGCTAAATTTCAGTTATAATTTCACATAAGTAAGGTATCTCGTCTTGTTTTCCTTATAGACACTTACAGCCACAGAGTGCCATTACACAAACCTACGGATTGGGAGAAAAAGATCCTGATATGGGCAGGTCGCTTCAAAAAGGAAGATGAAATCCCAGAGACTGTCTCGTGAGTGCTCAACCTAGGGTTGTAAGCAGCTTTAGTGTTTCTCACTAATCTGTTTTAAAGGAAAAGCAGTTCTTCTGAGTGTGACTATTTAAATCCTTTCAACCAAATTTTAAAACAGTTTTCACTTCTCTAAATGTTTCTTCTTGATCAAGTATCTGGAATAAAAAGTGCTCAATCTGTCTTACATTGACATGTCATGTAGTACCTAGTGAGCAGCAGACTCTCAAGTCAGCTGAATTGACTTCTCCTAGCTACAGGAATGTGACTAAACAGTGATGTTCACTCTTTTTAGGTTGTTTTAATCTGGGTGAATCAGTTATGTTCCAGTCACAATAACTGTATTCTATACGATTCACTCAAGTGTTTAGACATAGGCATAAAAATATTTAAAAGCAACATATTCTCTGTCTGGGATCCAGGAAAGAGTGCCTCCTGCCACCAACTTCCTTAAATGCAGCTCTGGCTGGGATCATGGGACTTTTTCAGAGTCTGTAGATGATGAGTAAGATTCCTCCAGGGTTTCTCAACCTCAGAACTGTTGACATTTTGGACCAGATGTTTTTTGTTGTTGGGGCTATCTTGTGCATTATAGGATGTTTAGCAGCATCCCTGGCCTCTTCATCTCATATATGTCCCAGTAGCACTCATTAATGGTGATCAAAAAGTCTCCCGATAGTGTCAAAGGTTCTGGGGGGGGGGGGGGCGCAAAATCACCCCCCATTGAGAACCACTGTTCCACTGATTGGTTTGCATCTTGGCCAACAGAGATTCTGAGAAGTAGATGCCATCTCCCCTGTGGGGCATCATCCTGTTCAGAGACAGGACTTGGGACAAAGTTCCTAGATGTTCCCTTCTAGCAAGAAAACTATTCATGCACCTATCTTCTGGTTTCTGGTTTCAAGTCATGACTGCAAAAGATCTGCGTTCATTCAGGGTATATTTTTCCAGGAAGATAAGTAGTATTTGCCTTCTGTTTACAACAGCTTTTAAAAAAAGAGCCCTCTGCTTCTAAATGTCAAATTAAATAGCACATTATTTTCAGCAGGAAAAATTATTTCATCACGAAAGCCCTGGTTCTTCTTTGCTCAAGTGACAATGTACCCTCCTGGGAAATATCAGTAACATCAATTTCTTGTCCGGCCAGTGTGGCTCAGTGGTTGAGCGTCTACCCATGCACCAAAAGGTTGCCAGTTCGATTCCCAGTCAGGACACATGCCCAGGTTGTGGGCCTGATCCCCAGTGTGGGACATGCAGAAGGCAGCCAGTCGATGTTCTCTCTCATCGATGTTTCTGTCTCTCTCTCCCTCTCACTTCCTTTCTCTCTAAAATCAATAAAGGAAACAATTTTTTAAAATAAATAAATAACATCAATTTCTTGCCTGTCCCAATTTTGTCCTAAAAATCCCAGCAGAAAACAAGCTGGTATATACCCTTGGCCCTAACAGGTGCCATATAGACTTTGCTATGGAACACCTTCCTTAGTTGGCCTTGTAGGTGGTTCCCAGATTCCCTGAAGCCTAAAGAACTACCTAGTTCTTTAGGGTGACTCTAGTGAATCACCCTAGAAGGAAGGCCTTTTTCTGAGCCTGGGCAACCGTTTATCCTTGTGCTCATAGTTCTGAACTGGCACTGCTTAACTTGCCCATTGGAATTGCTCCCTGTATAGAGGGCAACATCACAACCTTATTTATATGCATTTTTCTCTTTTTTTCATCCTCACCCGAGGACATTTTCCCATTTTTTATTCAGATAGAGTGGGAGGGAGAGAGAGGGAGAGGGAGAGAGAGAGAGAGAGAGAGAGAGAGAGAGAGAGAGAGAGAGAGAGAGACATAGACATCAATGTGAAAGGTGCACATCAAGTGGCTGCACCCGCACAACCCAACCCGGGCCAGGGACAAACTGCAACCAAGATACGTGCCCCTAGCGGGAACCGAACCTGGGTCTCTCTGGACCGCAGGTCAACACTCTTAACTGCTGAGCCAAATCACCCAGGGCGCATTTTACTTTTTAAATGTTCTCTCAAATGTAAACTGTGTCACTTTTCATGAGGATCACAGCACATCAGTTGGAAATACCAATTTACATAGGTAGTCAGTTTGTGGTTGGTGTGATCTGAGATGCTCTTAATAAAGCAACTCACTGTCCTCAGCAGTTGTCCCTAGTTCCTCCCACCTGCAGGCCCAGTTTCCATGCCTGGCGAATTCCATGTATATTGCTGTTCAGTGGGTCCCAGTTCTTACATCACAGTGTATATGCTTTCAGGGTACTCCTCCTACCACCTGCAACATCCCAGAGCCTCTGCTTCCTTCCAAGCATTTTTGTTTTAAGATTTTTTATTGATTTTTAGAGAGAGAAACATCAATCAGCTGCCTCCTACATGCCCCTACTGGGGATCAAGCCTGCAGACCCGGGCGTATGCCCTGACCAGGAATCAAACCACAGCCTTTAAGTGCATAGGACAACATCCAACCAAGCCACAGAGGCCAGGGTCCAAATATTTTTAAAGTACATTTCCCCCCTTTATTTCCAATGTAATTCGTGTTCATAATCTGGGAGTGGAGGAGAACTTAACACTTTAATCCCATCTTCTAAAGATGATAACTTCCTATTGATACCCCACTGAATAGTCCAGTTCTCTATCCTGGGCCCATTAGGACTCCACATGCTCTCCCCTGAAGCTCTACCAGACACCCAGAGAATAGAACTTGGATCCACTGCCCTGCTGCAGAATCATCAAGGTGGAAGGGCCTTTGCTTCAGACTTTCTTGTTTGGCCTCTCAGCTTTGATACAAAAATGATAATCCAACCCTCAACTTGCTGTTAAGGTACATTGGTCTATATTCAGTGGACAGGCTAGAAGAGGCACTTGCAAAAGAGCTCAAGTTCACGGTCACTCAATTTTAACACACTAGTTAAAGATAAGCATTAAGGGAGTATTGCTTAAAGGGTCTTTCTGCTGATCCAGATATTTTTAAATCTATTCCTGGTTCAAGGCAGAGAACAGAATGCTGGGTATTAAAAGAAAATTCCCTAACTCTCTCCTGTGTTTGTTTTCTTCTGAATTGTGCTTTGTGTTAAAACTTATGCTCATTGTAGTATGTATCTGTTGTCAGGAGGTTGTTCAGATAATCATTGTATCACATAATATCCTCTTGAGAACCTCAAGGAGAAACAGCTACTGGTTCCACTGTTAGCATTGGCTACTCATGTGAAACTTCAGAGCCAAAATCAGAGCCCACCATAGCAAGCGTAGATTAACATGCCTTGCCTTTGGGGGTTGGGGGAGGAAAGTGGGCTTTGTTCCTGGCTTCACTTTCTATCTTTTCACTTTCTTCTCCTCTTTTTCTACTTTAAATTTGTGCTAGCTACTGTATTTTATATATAAAGTGAGTTGTGAAAATGCCCCATCTTCCCCAAAGTCCTACAAGATTTCCAGGCCTTACCTCCTTTTTTTATATTTAATAGGCACCACTCCACTTCTGATTTGTGGTACACAGAGCTTTATATCTTGCTGGCAACTTCAGAAAGTTAATTTTCTCTCATGATCTCATTGTATTATTAGGTTTGAAATGCTTGATGCTGCAAAGAACAAGATCCGGGTGAAGATCAGCTATGTAATGATTGCCCTGACAGTGGCAGGATGCATCTTGATGGTTATTGAGGGCAAGAAGGTGAGAGTGGACTTCCTCTCTATCTCTGTTTGTCTTCCACAAAAGACCTAGGGGAAATCAGGGATTGACCCTCATATTTATTTGCTGAGAAAAAGAAGCTATTTTCTGCACAAGAAATTATAAGAAACAAAATAAGATATAGTAGGTCCAAACCTAGGATATCATGCCTGGGCATAAACAGCAAATCCTAACATTGGCAAGGGGAAGGTTTTTTGTAAAAATGTCCGGAGTTACGCCCTGGCCAGTTTGGCTCAGTGGTTAGAGCGTCGGCCTGCGGTCCGGAGAGACCCGGGTTCGGTTCCCGCTAAGGGCACGTACTTCGGTTGCAGTTTGTCCCCGGCCCTGGTTGGTCGTGCAGGTGGCAGCCGCTCGATGTGTCCCTTCACGTCGATGTTTCTCTCTCTCTCTCCTTCCTCTCTCTCCCTCTCACTCTATCTGTACAAAAAATGGAAAAATATCCTCAGGTGAGGATAAAAAAAAAACTTCCGGAGTTAGTTTTGTGTAAAGTGAAAGTATTTAGTTATCCACGGATGTCAAAAATAATGTGAAACAAGAAATGTGAACTGGCCAATTTAATGATAGTTCTGCATGTCTATAAAGCATTCTCAGTACATGGACTTATTTATCCTAATCCCGGAGTCTTGGGTTCGACTCCAGTCAAGGGCATATACCTGGTGAGCAGTCTTGTCATTGTTCTTTACTTCATGTCAGCCCAGTTGGGCCATATAGCTAAAGACCTAAGCTCCTAAGTGGTACATAGGAATTCAAGCCCAGAAATCTTTAACATAATTATTAATAGCTATCACTAATTGAATATTTATAGTCTTCCAAGTACTTTGAAGTCACAACACTGCAAGATAGGTACTATTTTTAGGACCTCATTTCTAGCTGAGGAAACATAGCTTGGAAAGCTTTAGTAATTTGTCCATGGTCATGCATCTCTCCACTTTAAACCTAGACATAATTGAGGTGATAGTAAAATTGCTCCCACTTACTACTGAGTGCTTATTATATAGCAGGAACTGTTAAACTCATTTAATTACCATAATAACCTTAAGAACCTCAGAGGTAAGTTCTCCTATTATCTGTGTTTTATAAAAGAAGAGCACAAAGTTTAAAAGATATTAAATAATTTTCCCAAAGTCACATAGCTAATAAATGGCAAGATAAAAATTGAGAGCCGCCTGGCCAGTGTGGCTCAGTGCTTGAGCGTTGACCCATGCACCAAGATGTCACCAGTTTGATTCCCAGTCAGGGCACATGCCCAGGTTGTGGGCCCAGTCTCCAGTGCGGGCATGCAAGAAGTGGCCAGTCAGTGTTCTCTCTCATCGATGTTTCTATCTCTCTCCCTTCCTCTCTCTTTATAAGCAATAAAGGAAAAAAAATTAATTAAAAAAAAAATTGAGAGCCAAGTTTGCAAGTTACCAAACTTCATACTATTCTATCTTGTGATTAAGATATAATTACTTTTATATGCAGCATCATTGGTCAAACCCTTGTTCTAATACTGTGTCTAATTCTGTGCATCAGTTTCCATGTGGAAAGAGATGTCTTATATCGATTATCAGACATTAAAAAGGTTTTTCTATAAACCCAGTGGTAACTGACTTCCTTATCCCAAGAGTCTAGAGTAAAAGGAAATGAACTTCCAGCTCTCTTTAGTCTTGGAATGGAAAATACTGACCATTTAGGCTGACCTTATGGGAGCATGGAGGGCAGTGTGCAGACCTGGGTGAAGTTCTCTTGACAACTCCTGCCCTACTTAAGTTTTTCTTGTCTCCCTCTTTGACCTCTCATACTTAGTTCTCAATTGAAATATGCAGAAACATGTGACTAGGACATAAGGGTTTCTAGAATTCTTTACACAAGATTACACAGATTTAAGAAAAGAGTACCTTGCCCTGGCTAGTTTGGCTCAGCAGTAGTGTCGGCCCACAAACCAGAGTCTTGGGTTCGATTCCAGTCAAGGGCACATACCTCGGTTGCAATTTAGTCCCTGGCTCTGGTCGGGGTCATGTGGGAGGCGACCAATCAATGTGTCTCTCACACTGATGTTTCTCTTTATCTCTCCCTCACACCCTGAAAATAAATGGAAAAATATCCTTGAGTGAGGATTTTTAAAAGAAGAAAAATTGTCTCTTTTTAAAAGATAAAAATTGTTTCAAAGACTACCTTATAGAGTGCTAGTGTCACTTATTTGGTATAGAAAATTTGAGCCCTGGCTGAGTGGTTCAGTTGGTTGGAGCATCGTCCCATACACCAGAAAGGTTGCAAGTTTGATTCTCTGTCAGGGCACGTACTTAGGTTTTGGGTTCAATCTCTGGTCAGGGTATGTACAGAAGGCAAACCGATTAATGTTTCTCTCTCTTGTTCTGTCTCTCCCTTCCTCTCTCTCTAAAATCAATAAAAACATATCCTCAGGTGAGAATTAAAAAATAAAATTTTGAGCCTGGCTGGTGTGGCTCAGTGGACTGAGCATTGTCCCATGGACTGAGAGGTCCCAGTTTGATTCCTGGTCAGGGCACATGCCTGGGTTGCAGGCTTGCTCCCCAGTAGGGGTGTACAGGAGGCAACTGATCCATGTATCTCTCACATCTGTTTCTCTCTCTGTCCCTTCCTCTCGCTCTAAAAAAAAAATCAGTAAAAACATGTATTTTCCTTATCCTCCCCCGAGGACATTTTTCCACTTTTATTCAGATTGGGAGAGAGAAATATTGATGTGAAAGGGAAACATTGAGTGGCTGTCCCCCGCACAACCCCAACCATGTCCAGGGACGAATCACAACCAAGGTATGTGCCCTTGACTGGAACTGAACCCACAATTCATTGGTCTGCAGGCTGATGCTCTAACCACTGAGCAAAACTGGCCAAGGCAATAAAAACAGTTTTAAAAATAAGTGAATAAATTTTTGAAACTGGTCTGTTAATGTCAGCTTCACATATAGTGTAACAAGTCACAGGGAGGGGAGCAAGGGGAGAGGATGGTTGCCTCTCCCCCACTGTTGTTTGCTCCCAAAGGATGGAGTAGTAGGATAGATGCTGCTGGAAGTCATTGACAGTCGTGTCTGGTAAAGTCTGGGATCCCCAAAGCTGAATATTTTTGGTAAAAAAGGAGTAAGGAGCTAGAAGGGTGTGAACGTATACAAACGAGTTGAAGAAGGAAAAATGGTAGCAACAAGGCAAAGTAAAAGGACAAAAAATGGAAATGAGAAGGTATTTAATACTAAAAGGAGGAAAAGGGAAAGATAAGAATAAATTATAAAAGAGGCTAGATTTTATTTTTTATTTTTTTATCCTCACCCGAGGACATTTTTTCATTTTTTTATTCGGATAGAGTGGGAGGGAGAGAGAGGAAGAGAAAGAGAAACATCGACGTGAAAGGGACACATCAAGTGGCTGCCACCCACATGACCCAACCAGGGCCGGGGGCAAACTGCAACCGAGGTACATGCCCTTAGCAGGAACCGAACCTGGGTCTCTCTGGACTGCAGGCCGACGTTCTAACCGCTGAGCCAAACTGGCCAGGGCGAGGCTAGAAGATTTAAAGAATGAGACCAGAAAGGAATAGAAGTGCTTGAATGATGGACTGCTGGGCTGTGTAGCACTAGAAGCAGAAGTCACGCGGAGGGGCCTGCTGTGCCTGGTGTGCATGCAGCAGACGGTTCTGTTCTCATAGTGCCCTTACTAACCTGCGACATTAGTGCACGGTAATGATATCATTCCCAAACATGCATAAATAACTACTTGTTCAAATTTGTTTCATTTTAGGCTGCCAGAAGACATGAGTCCTTAACAAGCTTGAACTTAGAAAAGAAAGCTCGTCTGAGAGAGGAAGCAATGAAAGCCAAAACAGAGTAACAGAGGTATCCATGTTGGCTAGAATTTGAAAATCCAGGAATGTCAGCAACAAGCCTGTATTAAACAGACTGTGGTATGACGATCCATTTCATAAAAGTATGTTTTGTACAAACATACCATTTCTCCATTTCTGCCCTAGAGGTACAAATAAATTTTCTTAACTGATTTTGTCTAATTTAATGGCTTTGGTCCAGGTTAAACACAGCTTCGCAGATTGTTTGGAAAAATGAGACGGCTTATTTCAACTTTAATATTAACTCTTTAGAGTCAGGTACTATTAATTAATTAATTCCTATTACCAAAGTGACTTCTCCCAGAAGCCAAAATGGCTTTCCCCCACCCCACTGCATTTCTCTCTCTTTGTATTCATTTCTGGAGAGATAAGGAAGGCCAGCTGAGTACACTGCCCAAGTGCATCTTTGAGAACTAACCTCCTCAAAGCCCTGGAGAGCCGAGAGACCACACACTGCCATTCTGAGGCATGCTGGCAAACAGAGGCTTTTAGGAGCACAGTCCTTGAAAATGTCCTAGCAAAGTCATGAAAGGGATCCGGCCACAAGTTTCTGAGAACTCTGAAATTCTAGCATCATGGAGTCACTTGGGGCCAGCAGTCCTCTTCTGCTCCATGGCTTAGAATTCCCAACTGGTCCTTGTTCTGCTGCCTTTCACTAAACTTCTCAATTGTGAAAATCTATCAGAATTTTGTTACTAGTGTTGAAAAACAAGTATCTGTACCTGGTATGTGTCTTGCTTTTTTTTTTAACTGCACATCACTTTATTCATGTGGATTCAGCATAGAATAGTGCTCAGAGGGTAGCAAATTCAAATTTTGTTTTGTTTTTTTAATTTTTTGAGATTTTTTTTTTCCCCAAACATTTTCAATCCATGGTTGATTGAGTCTGTGGCAAAACCTTCAGGGTCCATGGCGCTGCGCTCCACATTAGCTGCTGCGGCAATGGCTGCCCACACCATCCCGCAGCGATTAGCAGCGATTAGCGATCTTGTGCTCACCCATATCCCCGCCATTGTCGCCCCTCTGGACCAGCACTTCTGTATCTTGCTTTGACTGGGATGCCCAGTTGTCTCGTATTTAGGTAATGGATACTGATTTCTTTTTTTTAAATCCTCACCCAAGGATATTTTTCCATTTATCTTCAGATGGGGGGGGGGGGGAGACAGCGATACAGGAAAAACATATCCACGGCTGCCTCCCTCCCTCACAACCCTGACAAGGGCCAGGACGAACTGCAACAGAGGTACATGCCCTTGACCAGAATCGAACCCGTGACTCATTGGTCCGCAGGCCAACACTCTTAACCACTGAGCCAAACCAGCTAGGGCTAATTTCTGTTTTAAGTATTTCATTTATTCTCTCACAATATAATGGATGACAAGTCCTCATAGCCATCTCAACCTGTGAGGTCTCCTAAGAGGGTTATAATAAATAGCAACATATGCAGCTGTTTGGGAACATAAGGTTTAATAAGATACTCAATAAAATGTAATACAGTCTACCTATAGCTTCATAATCTATCTGATGTTAATGATGTCTATCTATATACTTTATTTTAGAGTAATTTGACCATAGCGTCTTTTTAGATACCAAATTCTTTTATTTTTAATCACTTATAAATTTATTATCAAAAAGTATCATTTCTTATATATTTTAGCAGATTAGTTTTTTATTATTTTTGAATACTTATATTACATCTTACCTAAACCAATGTTTTAAATATGGGTCAATTTTAATGTAATTCTTTTAAAAATAAGTAATCTTTCTTCATAGAACAATACCATTCTTGAGTTCTTAAAGTAGCATTTTAAAGTGTTGTATCTTGGAAATTCATTGGAATAAAAACGTTTCCTTATACCAAAGCACATATGCAGCAAGAATTTACACCATTACTTCTCATTTTGTGTCAGTCTCCCACTCAGTAACTTACAGTGACTACCTCGTGAGCTAAATACAAATTTCTTGGCCAGAATTTCAGACCTGCTCCTCTAATGGCACTTCTCCCGGTACTCTCACATACTAACTTCTTAGCTGTCACACCCTAATTAACGCTTAATATCTTAGGTTCCTCAGAACTTATCAAGCAAATCAGATTTAATGAGCACTAGTATAAGATACTGTAGAATACTAAAAAAAAGTTTTGCTCTTGATACTTTCAATTAAATTATTGATGTGCTATCTTTTGCCTAATTTTTTTTTTTTTAATCCTCACCTGAGGATATTTTTCCCTTGATTTTTCTAGACAGAGTGGAAGGGAGCGGAGGAGGGAGAGAAACATCTATGCAAAAGAGATACATAGCTTGATTTCCCCCCACATGCACCCAACCCGGGCCAGGGATCAAACCCAAAACCAAGGTAGGTGCCCTTGACGGAATCGAACCCGCTACTCCTTGGTCCACAGGCTGAAGCTCTAACTACTGAGCCAAACCAGCCAGGGCTCACTCTTTTGCCTAATTTCTAAACTTTTTTTCATGTTTACCACATCTCTATAGGTGGTGGGCAGAAACCATTTTCCACATTATATTTTCTATAAGCCTTCTTTGAGTAAAGTTAACATGTGAGATTATACTGATACTTTTAATTTTTTTTTTTTAATCCTCACCTGAGGATATTTTTACCTTAATCTTCAGATAGAGCTGGAGGGAGAAAGAGAGAGAGAAACATCTATGTGAGAGGGACACATCAATTGGCTGCCACCCGCACAACCCCAACCGGGGCCAGCGACAAACTGCAACTAACGTGCCCTTGACCGAAATTGAACACAGGACTCTTTGGTCCATGGGCGGTCCTTTTAACACTGAGCCATACCCGCCAGGGCGATACTTTTAATTTGAATCAACAAAAATACCACTATGGAGAATTGATTCCAAAAATTTAGAGAAAGCAGGCAAGGCATGAAGTGTTGCTGGTATAATTCATTGTCATGTGTCAAACATTACTTGAGTCCCTTCTATATACAAAAACTGAGAATGAATAATATAATTTTTGGCTCCACAGAGCACATGATATACTGGCCTATGAAACCATTACAATACAATTGGTAAGTGATATATTTTGAACTTTACTAACAGAAACACAGAAATAGCAAGAAAACCTAACTCAGCTGTCAGCTGGTTGGAGTCAAGTAGGCAGAGACGGTGATTTCTGAACTAAGTTTGAAGCATGAATAGGTGTGAGTCACACACATAACGAGAGAGCAAGCGGCCTCACCACTCAAGACATTTAGCTTTCCTGAAAATCATGAGAGGGCACAACCTGACAAGGTATTAGGGATCCTTTAGTAAAATGACATAATGTTTTAGACTCTCAGAACAAACCTAACCATGACTTATTTTTCCAATGTACAGACTTGATTCCATGGACTACTTCATGTACCATCATATAGGATAGTATTTAAAAGTGTGTGTGTGGCATCTGACATACATCTCCAATCTACCATAATCCCAGGCTTATGTTCTTATTCATCTGATTTCCCAAACCAAAAACCTTGGAGTTATTACAAACTCCTGTTTCCCTCATTTAATCAATCATTCTGTCTTGTGAATCTTCTAAATATTTCTCAAATATACCAATCCTCTAGAATAGTCATTGAGAGGAATAGAATGGAAATCTGTTCAGGGACAGATACAGGAGATTAATAACAGATTTCAAGATTAAAAGTCAGAAGCTCTGGGTTCTAGACTTGCTTTTCCAACTGTCCTTGGGTTTTTTTGTTTGTTTTTTTTTTTGTTTTTTTTCCCTTTATTGATTTTAGAGAGAAAGGGGGAAGGAGAGATGGAAACATCGATGAGAAAGAACATCAATTGGCTGTCCTCTATATGCCCCCCACCAGGGATTTGACCCACAACCTGGGCATGTGCCCTGACCAGGAATTGAACCAGTGACCTCCTGGTGCATGGGTTGATGCTCAACCACTGAGCCACACCAGCCGGGCCCAACTGTCTTGCTTTGTAAATTTAGGTTATAGGTCTTAAAATCGTATATAATTCTAAACAATATAAGGAAATATAAAACCATGCCAAAATTAAGAGAAACCATCTTTTTAAATATGTTTTTGCCAACCTGGCTCTACTACTTGACTTCTAAAGGGTTTAGCAGCTACTCATCCACAGTTTAATTGTTTTGTCATTTCCTAATGCTGCTGATGCAATGATGTTCTCTGTAGGATGACAAGCTGCTGAGATTACAACATCTGTATGACCTTGTAATTTCTGTACAATCTCTTTAGTCTGGAGGTCCCAAATGTAAACCAGGTTATCCTCTGACCCAGACACAATCCACTTTCCACCAGTAACAGAAAAATTGGCAAATATGCAGTATTTCTCATTCTTATGACCGGTGTATGTCTTCAGGCATCTGCCTCTGCTGTAATCCCATAGTTTAAGAGTATTATCCAAAGTTGCAATGAGAATATATTTACCATTTGGAGAAAATTTCACAAAAGAGACAGGAGGATTATCATCATCAACAAGTGTTTTTAAACACTGACCTGATGCAGCATCCCAGATTCTACAGACACCATCGTAGCTACCTGACACGATCAAGGACCCACCACAATTAAAATGAACAGCAGAAACTGGGTCAGAATGAGCAGACAAAGTCTTGAGGCACTTTCCTGTTTTCACCTCCCATATCTTCACGCTCTCATCAAAAGATCCTGAAATTATGAGGTTGGATGGTGGATTGAAATTACAGCAAAACACATAATTACTGTGCCCCTCCAGCGTTTTCAAACATTTTCCAGATCTCACATCCCAAAGCTTTAGAGTTTTATCATCTGAGGCAGAAACAAGACGACTGGAATCTGATGACCAGTCAACATCTGATATTTCCAGATGGTGACCATAAAGTGTTTTCTCGTATTTTCCATCATGAGCTCCCCAAATTATAATTACTTTATCAGCAGAAGAACTTGCTAGCCATTCTCCATTAGGACTAAACTTAACTGATGATATTGCTTCCGTATGCCCCACGAGAGTACACCTAAGAGCATAGTTTGGTTTTTCAGACACTCGTTTGCTCGGACTGGCAGATGAGGTGAGGGCCGACTGTGCTCTGGCGTCTGACTCCCTTGTTGCCATGGCTCTGAAGCTCCAAGTCACTGCTTTGGCTAGGCCCAGGCAGCTTGGTATTTTGACTTTCTGCCCAGCAAAACGAAGATTAAAACATTAGAGTAAAAAATAAACGGTCTTTCATCATCACAATTTCTGGATCGTCTTTAAATTACAACATACATACACTGATTCACTGCTTCAGCAGCATGGCTTGGACCACGTGTTTTTCCTCGCTTCCCTCTGTAAACAAATACTTGAAAAATATTAAAAGGGTCCCATGCTCTGTCGGCAAGTACGGTATTAATAGTGGGTATTTTGCAAACGTATGCGGCCGTCCTAAGCGGCGCAGCGCGAGGGGAATCTACAGAAACTATTTCTCACCGCCCCTCCCCCCACCCCCGACACGTCTGAGAACACCGAGCACCCCCACCAGTCTGACAGACTAGGTACTTGAGCATGAGTGCATCACCGCTTTAAACAGAAGATTTCAGAAGATCAGAAAAAACGTGCGTAGACACCGTTATTTGAGGTCCGGGTCTGTCGGCTACATTCTGCAGGCAAAAACAGGGCTCACCTCCGCGTCAGCCTCTAAACCTGCGGGTCGACCCCAGGCGCATGCGCAGAGGGAGGCTACTTCCGAGTCGAGGTGACCAATGAGAAAGGTCTTCATGCGCTTGCGCCAAGAAAAAGGCCGGGTTTCTTGCGGTCTTCTTCGCCCCCGCCTTCCGCACGCAAATATGTAATTCCTGTTTAGCCCAATGGGAAGGTGAGCAGGATTGTTCCAGACCCGAGTGGGTGTCGTGGAGAGCAGTGACTGTGTCAGAGAATACTTGTGTGTCTGTAAACCGTGCCACAGGAAAGGACTGCGTTTCCCCGTGCCTGGCTGGGTTAAGCCCACAGCTGAAACGTGAGCGGCCCAGACGGTGCGCTTTTAGGAAATGTAGCTAAGGTCGTCTGGCCACCTAGACGCCGGTGGCTACCTATTAAGCTCCTGTTTCCCCGGTGGCTTTGGTTCTGCTCCCTTCTACTTGTGTACAGCATGGTCGCGTATACAGCAAGGCTGCAAGTAGGAAAGTGGAGCATAAGGGCTTCTGGTTTTCAAGTTTTCTCTAAAAGCCCCTGGCTGGGTAGTTAAGGTGGTTAGAGCATCATCAATATGCTTACAGGTCCCTCTCCATAGCAAGAATCAACCAATGAATGCATAAATAAGCGGAACAACAAATCCATGTTTCTCCTTCTCTTTCTTCCACTTTCTCTAAAATCAATCAATACAAATAAATAAAGTTTTCCCTAAACGTTTAGGGAAGGATAAAAGATATGTGTTAGGGGCCTTTAAAGTCAGTGCTCAGAGAGCATGACATGGTAGTGATGGGGAAAATGAGCAAACGTTTCAGCACGTATGATTTAAGTTTACAAAGGAAATTGTGAAAAGTGCAATATTCTAAATAGAACTGTTGCCACAAATGGGTATTTATTTTAAATTTATTGATTTTAGCCCTGGCCGGTTTGGCTCAGCGGTTAGAGCGTCGGCCTGCGGTCTGGAGAGACCCGGGTTCGGTTCCCGCTAAGGGCATGTACCTCGGTTGCAGTTTGTCCCCGGCCCTGGATGGTCGTGCGGGTGGCAGCCACTCGATGTGTCCCTTCACATCGCTGTTTCTCTCTCTCCCTTCCTCTCTCTCCCTCCCATTCTATCTGTACAAAAAATGGAAAAATGTCCTCGGGTGAGGATAAAAAAATAAAAAATAAAAATAAATAAATAAATTTATTGATTTTAAGGTTTTTAAAAAATGTTTCATTGACTTTAGAGCGAAAGGCAGGGAGAGGGAGAGAGAAACATCAATCAGGCAGCTGCCTCCCACATGCATCCAGACCCAGGATCAAACCTGCAACCCAGGTATATATACCATTCAGTGCGTGGGACTACACTCAGTCAACTGAGCCACATGGGCCAGGGCATTCAATTTATTGACTTGGGGGTGGGGGGAGAGAAACAGCATTCTGTTGCTCTGTTTATTTATGCTTTTTTTTTTTTAATCCTCACCTGAGGATATTTTTTCATTTATCATCAGATAAATTGGGGGGGGGGGGTGCACATCAACTGGTTGCCTCACACAAGACCCGACTAAGCAAGGTGGGGAGGAACCGCAACCGAGATGCGTGCCCTTGACCAGAATTAAACTCGAGACTCATTGGTCTGCTGGTCCGCCCTGTGGAGAGTCTAATCTCTGAGCCAAACCGGCTAGGGCTATTGGTTGACCCCCCACCACCACCACCACTGGTTATATCCAAATTTTATGTTCCAGCATGAAACTGTGCCTAAAGGATTTCCCACATTCAACACATTCATAAGGTCTTTCTCCAGTGTGAATTCTACAGTGTTCACTAAGGTGTGCTTGCTTGTGGAAAGATTTTTCACACTCACTACACATAAAGTTTCATTTCTTACATTTATAAGGTTTCTCTCCAGTATGAATCCGCAGGTATTTAATAAGGGATGGACTATGACAAAAGGCTTTGCCACATTCATTACATTTCTAGAGATTCTCTCTGGTGTGAATTCTCAGATGCTGGACAAGGACTGCTTTTGTTTGAAAGGCTTTCTCACATTCATTACATTTACAAGTTTTCTCCCATGTGAATCCTCAGATGTTGAGTAAGATTTGAATGTTTACGGAAACAAGTATCACATTCACTGCACATAGCGCCTCTCTCCTGTGTGAATCTTCTGATGCTGAGTAAGAGATAATCTCTGAGTAAAGAATTTTCCACATTCACTACACGTTGAAGGTTTCTTCTGCATGTTAAGTGTCTGATGTTTCATTTGCGGTGGAATCTGGCCAGAACTCATGCTGCTTGTAACACAATGAAGGGGTGTCTGTCCAGTAGGTTCAGGTTTAGAAAAAACTTTCAAATTCATGTTAGTTACAAGGTACTTTCTCAAAGATGAATACCGTTAGAGTTAACACTGTTCTGGGAAAGGGCTGTGTGTTTGTGCACACGTGTTGTCCTCTCAACTATTCCTGCAGGATTTCCTCTCCTAATCCTTGTTTAGCCTGCTTCGGTTTCTCCAAAGGTGACCCCCTGATGACCAGGCCCTCTGACTCTCCACACCTTCCTCAAGTCATTTAACAGTGTGCCATCCGGGCTGGTCTTCTCCCTGAGACAGGCTGTTAGGAACACAAGTGATACTGGTTGGTCTCCTGGGGACTCCTCTTGAGGGAGGGCAGGAGTCCAGACGTTCGCTTGCTCGATGGAGTTCCTATAAACGGAACCCAGAGCTCCCGACTCCCAGATCAGGGCTCCTGACAGCCTTCTCCCTTCCCTCTCCAGGCGGAGCAGGCCCCCATTCTTGGGCCTCCGCTCCAAAGGTCCCTGCTTGTCCCAAGGGAGAAATGCTGTAGCCCACCAGACCGAGTGGAGGGAAGCCTCGGGCGGAACTGCAGCAGACAGGCAAGGTAGACGGTTCGGCAGGGTTCCCCTGGCATGGTGGATGAGCCCCTCACAAAGCTCAGCTTATTGGTTGATTCTTTTGTGTGTCCTGACGAGGGATCGAACCCCCAACTTTGGCACATGGGAATGCTGCTCCAACCGAGTTACCAGGTCAAGGCCTATGCTTTTCTGTTTTTTTAAATCCTCACCAGAGGACACTTTTTGCATTCATCTGCAGACAGCGAGAGGAAAAGAAACATTGATGTGAGAGAGACACATCAACTGGCTGCCACCCACACGACCCCAACCAGGGCCTGGGACAAACTGCAACCAAGGTATGTGCCCTTAGCAGGAACTGAACCTGAGTTTCTCTGGACCACGGGCCGACGCTCTAACCGCTGAGCCAACCAGCCAGGGCTGTTTTTGTTTTTAATAAAAAATAAATTTTTTTAAAATCCTCACCTGAGGATATTTTTCCATTTATATTTTTTCAGAGAGAGAGAGAGGAAGGGAGGGAGAGAGAAACTTCAACGTGAGAGGGACACATTGATTGGCTGCCCCCACAAGACTCCCACCAGGGCAGGGAACAAACTGCAACCGAGGTGCGTGCCCTTGATGGGAATGAACCCTTGACTCTTTGGTCCGAGGCCAACACTCTAACTGCTGCACCCAACCAGCCAGGGCTAAAAAAAAATTTTTTTATGTGTGTCAGACTTAAACAAGGCCTGGGAGTGATTTTCTATGTAAGGGCCGTCTTGACCAACTTGCCTTGTAGTAACTCTGATTACCAAATCCAGTCCTCAAAAATCAAGCTTAGAGCTGTGTACATATCCAGTGGCTTTACCGTAGTCGTTTTTGCTCAGTGAGAGCATCAGCCTGCAGACGGACTGAAGGGTTGAGGGTTTGATTCCAGTCAAGGGCATGTCCCTGGGTTGCAGGTTCAATTCCTGGCCCCCGTCAGGGTCATGCAGGAGGCAACTGGTTGTGTGTCTCTCACATCGCTCTCTCTCCCCCCCTCCATCCCTTCCATTCTTTCTCTAAAACAAACATATCCAGCTGTTTTAGACCACTTGCAATTTAAACATATGAAAATCTACTTGGGCTTAAATATGGGGTGGCCATATAACTTATCTAAACTAAGACTTTCTTAAAGTGAAAGGAGGCACTAAAATAATTAACAGATGTTAATTATCTAAAAACCTGGACTGCTCCCAACAAACCAGTACAACCACTGCTGACTTCTCAAGAGGTCTCTCCTCATAATCACAACTTAATCTTGGAAAGTTCTACACTCTTTATCTCAGCCTGCCAAGATCTCTCTCAAACCACTGTCCTCTCCCCACCACTGTGGTCTTCTGGGTTTCTATTTTCTCTTTCCCCACCACTCTAAATAATGCTGGGCCCAAGTGGTTTAGTTAAGGAAGTGATCCACCTTGTGGACACCCACCCGCTAAACTCCACTGGCTTCCTCAGGTTGTGGGTATAGAAGAAGGAATTTAAAGAGTAATTTTATTCTTCACAAGAACATTCAGTATCACAGAAATGACTGCGTGTTGATTTTTTTCCTATACCAAGACTGCTTCACAATGGCAAATGAAATAGGGGCAACAATCACCTAAGCTGGCTATAATATAAATTTGTAAACCCAAGTGTTTTTTTTTTAATCTTCACCCGAGGACATTTTTGCATTCATCTTCAGATAGGGCAGGAGGGAGAGAAGGGGGAGAGAGAGAAACATCGATATGAGACACACATCCACTGGCCGCCACCCACACGACCCCAACCGTGGCCGGAGACAAACTGCAACCAAGGTACATGCCCTTAGCTGGAACCAAACCCTGGACTCTTTGGTCCGTGGGCCGATGCTCTAACCGCTGAGCCAAACCGGCCAGGGCAACCCAAGAGTTTTGTACTATAGATGACAATGTAGTCTGCAGGAACAAAGGCTCTATCTTGCTCAAAGATTTTGTTTTTACGCAAAAAAATACCCGGTCAGTGGAATCTCTCAAAAATAGTAGAGAAGCAATCATGGAATGAAGAAATACAACTGTCTTTGATTTTGCTGATCTGTCCCTTCAATTGGAGGCATGCATAATGTTCTCATGCAGCAATACATACAATATGTAAACATTAAAACACCCTCTTTAATAATCTAAGCAACCACCAACTTCCACTCCAGTTGG